CGCCTCCTTGAATATAAAAAAGATGAACATTTGATGAAAATATAAAATTTGTTACTTTTTGATTTTATTCTTTAAACAGAAAAATGTCTGCTCTTATAAAGATGTCTGTTAAAAAAACGAACACATTAGAAGTATATATATGCCGATATATGTATCAACAATACAATCAAAGAAACCGAACTATACAAAATAAAATAAAATAAATTTGAATTTAAATTCTATACTAGAGAAATAATTGGGGAATAGAGGAAGAGCGGAATAGAGGAATAAGAGAGAAATAAGAGGGGAATAGAGGAATAGCGACCGACCGACCGACCGGAATACATTTTGAAATGTTCCCTAAGCCTGACCTCGACGCTGACCGGCAACGTTATATGGAAAAAATGAAGCTCGAGCCAGAAGAAAATCAACTACAGAAAGATGGAATTTAGTTTGAATACGATGGTGTGAAATACAATGTTCTTGTTGAAATCCGCCGTAGTATGAAGGACTTTCAAATTCGACAACTGGAATCTGGACTTCATGAGGCTCATTGTTTGTTATGTTATTCAATGCCTTCTGAGTGGAAAGATATTCATAAGATAGAATCCAGATTTCCTATTGAACGAACAGCCTCAGATACTATCGAGCTCTACAAAGAAATGCTAGATGAATATGGCGACGTTGAACGTCGAAGAAATGATTATGCAACTCGGAAAGGTTTAACTTCTAAGCCATTGAGTCAAGATGATCATCACTACATTACAATCACCCACCAATATAAACTTAACGAATTGGATATTAAAAATAATGTATCACTTTCACGCCAATGTTCTAAAATGGACAGAAACTGGAAAAGACAACACAAAAATAAAAACTGAGATCAAACTAATAGTCCGGGCTCAAAACAAAGGCACTTCAACTACCGGCGAACAAGGAAGACAATTTTTTTCCGAAAAAAATCGATTGTCTGTTGTTGAGTGCGTACCAAAGCAATATCAAGATGTTTTAAAGAAACTTCTTCATCAATTATCCATCATGTGTCGTGTCGTCAACATCTACTGTTAACACAGAAAAATTCCGATAAAAATGTGTTGATTTTGCAAAACTAATTGCAATTGAACTGGCATGGGTCGAGGTTCTCGAATGGCAGGTATTTTCCTGAGCCACCCGTAATTCGTTACCATTTCGTCGGACAGATGCCTACCATTCGAGAATCACAACAGATAGAGTGGTCAGCCTTGAGTAGAATTGTAGAGGGCACGTTGGGCTATGTAGCCTACATGTAGCAATAATTTCACCGCAATTGAAGAATCTGGCAACGTCATCGTTTTTCATCAGTCAGGTACACCACCTGAAAAACTGAGACTTTTGGTGCAAAAGCAGAGTAAAACCTTCTCTACAAAATGCTGAAAACTCGAACTCTCTATGTCTGTTCTTCTCGAGTTATTCAAAAAAACATCCATGACCGCTCTATGTCTGTCACATTACTACATGATCATCTGTATGTACGTCCGTCACACCTGTGTACGGACAAACACACACACAGACACACACATACAGAAATAATTGTTTTCGTATGATGAATAACACAAGGAAGAAAACTGTAAGGCTGATGGACCCTTAAGTTATCTCCAGGGTTGTTCAGGAAATTCTCATCAGTATGGATCGATCTATTATTCTAATAACCGAGGTGAAAAGAGTGGATTGGGATAGTAATATTGCTGCACTTACAGGAGAGAAGGAGCGGAGATGGTCTGAAATCTACAGAGCACAAATTCCTCACTTCTTATTTTCGATATAGCTCGTCAAGAAAGTGTGGTAAAAAAAACTTGTAAAACATCTTGTTTTGCACAAAATTGAATAGACTGTCGAATGGCGGGTTTGAAAAAGTTTCTGAGGTTCGTTGGGTCTTGCAGGTTTTCTGAAAAATGAGGATTTTGGGGCATCTCTGTTTCAGGATCCCGAGTATAAGAATTGACCTTTTCGGTCGAAGAGTATAGAACCCGACGTGGGCTTTCATTTCAGACTGAACGCAAATCTC